CATCCATCCATCCATCCACCCTTTCCAGTGTTGTCCATGCTTGTGGGAGAGAACTATGGGAGGGAATATGTCCCACACTAATTAAAATGGATAAATAGAAAAGCCTAATTTTCAAAATAAATCTACATTACTTGACTAATATTTACTTTCTATAAATCATTACAATTTATTAAATATTTTCTTGAAGGGATCGATTATATTATGTCTCTGTTTAGAATAATGTAAGATTGGAACACTGATAGAAAGAGGATTGAATGAGAGCAGAGGAAATAGGAACACTGATTGAGAGAACAGTTGAAGAGAAGAGAGAGAGGAGAAAGCAGAGAGCAGGCAGAAGTCATAAGAGAGCAAGAAAGAAATGGACCTCTATAACCAGCCTGTATTAATCAACTTGTCTAGTAATGAAAGACATGAAACAAAGAAGCTGGCTGAGTAGGACTGTGTACATGTTCTATTAGTAAGAAAAATAATGTGCTTATTTGAGGTGTACTGCCCCCAGATGTGGTCAGATGTCGGTGATAAGCTAATATCATCCTTTACCTAAAGGCTTTGACCGCTACTTGTTTTTGATCCATGTAATGCAAAAAAAACTAATTCTCATCGGTATTTGGATGTGAACACGATGAGTATTTGTTGCATTATTTTTGAAGAGGTGGGGGAACTCGATCTCAGCTAAATGCTACAAGCTAAATGCTTGTACTTACCTCTCTGTTTTTTCTTTGCCTTATGTCACTCTCCCCTTAGGGGGCGGTAGTATCGGTAGTACAAATACTTTGTTACTGTACTTAAGTAAACTTTTAGGCATCTAAATCATATCTGGCTGACAAACTCATAGAAGGATGTCCATGTGACTGTGGGCAGGAGAGAAGGATGCTGAGGTTGTTCCTGAACTGAACCTGTTGAAGAATGGATTCAGTTAATTGGCTCTGTCCAGAGTCTGATCATCCTTCTACTTGAAGCCTATGAGCTTTTTCATCTCTGACCACACATTTCTGATATTGTTCTGCTGGAGCTTGTTTTCCAGCATCTTCCTGTAAGCATCCTTGCTTTCTCTCATCTTGACCTTAAGTTACTTCTATATACTCCTCATTAATTCCCTGTCTCCCTTCTTAAAGGCTTGTTTTTTCTTGTTGAGCAGTTTCTTCAGATCACTTGTGATCCGTGGTTTATTAAACCATTACTGTCCCAGTTTTCTTTGTTTTTTCTTTTAATCTACGAGCAGAAAATGTTCCCAGATTTCATTTCAGAAATCTGATCACCTTAATGCAGGACCTTGATACAGTCACATATACAGGGTTCAGAAACCTCCATCTTTTTTCTAACCATAGTTTTTATAGTAAAACAAAAAAACAATTGCATAGTGTCTGATGTAAAACATAGTTTCAATTATTTACATCAGAAATTATGTTTACTAGACAAAATTAAACTGTAAAAAACAAAAAAGATAAATTATTGTACCATTGAATAACTAACTTACAGAAGAGGGTAAACTGAAGGTTCAGCAGCCTAAAAATTAACATAGCCAAAAATTGCATTCCCTGCTTGTGTTTAGAATGATTCAGATTTTCTCCACATGTTTATACCTATTCTATGAGGTAGAGGTATGAGTTTTATGTCAGTAGGATAATATTCAGGCAGGGGAAGCAATAAGCGGCAGGTTTCATATTCTTAATTGTTAAGATCTTCATCCCCAGCTTTATTTGAGAAATTATGTGTTAACAAATGATAGGGACTACAATTTCAATTCAGTTTATTTATATAGTGCCAATTCTCAACACATCATCTTAAGGCAATTTACAGAGACAATTCAACCAGATCATACAGTCAGGTTGATTCAAAGTTTTCTATCTAAAAAAAAAAACTGCTGATTGCATCAATTGCACAGCAATTCTTCACACCAAGCATGCTTGTAGCTACATTGGAGAGGAATACTCCCTTTTAGCAGGAAGAAACTTCCAGCAGGAAGGCTCAGTGTGAGCGGCCATCTGCCGAAGCCGACTGAAGTTCAAGGAGAGAGAAGAGAAGCAGAGCTACAAAAGGCAACTGTCAAAAGAGCACATCCAGTTAGTCACAGTCAGAGAAACAGGACTACACTGAAAAACAGGTCAAGAATATTATAATTTACTGGATCTAATGCGAACAAGCACACATACAAGTCCATTTTCTGAGGCCATGGGAACATCATTAGTGACTTTCACCAGAGCTGTTAATGCTCTGCTCAGGAGTAATGTCATTTCGGATATCTGAAAGTAACGACCCAATACACATGAATGGGAAAAAGTGACGTAATTTGTCCTAGTTAGAATAACATTTCAGATATCTGAAATGTTTATTTTAGATAGGAGGAATACTATTAAAGATATTTAAAATACAAACAAATATATGATAAAACAGTCACTTAAAATAAGTAAAGATTTGTAGATATCTGAAATGTAGTTCTTAATAGTACAAATTTGATTCCAGAGTACTTAAAATTAAATTTCTACTGGTAGAAATGTAATTAATGATATCTAAAATACAATTCTGACTAGGAGTATTGTAATTGTGACTAGGTAGAATGCTTTAGCGCTATCTATAATAGAAACATGACTATTCAGCCTGCCTACTTTATGTTAAAATGGCGCCCCATTTCTTTTTTTAATATTAGTCAAAATAATGTTTTTAAGTTTCTAAAACTGCATTTTGGATAGGCATTATTAAAACATAGATATCTGAAATTCAAATTTAACTAGTCATATATCAATAGTTGATATCTGTAATTATATTTCTACTTGTAGAAATAGAATCTAGATGTCAAGAATTGGATTTCTGGATATCTATATTGTTACATTCATTTTTCGATATCTGAAATAGTAATTATGACTAGCAGTTACTCTATTATGGAGATCTGAAATTATAATTTCTCCACGTCAGAATTTATTATAAATAGGAAGAATGTTATTTTAGATAGGAAGAATGTTATTTTAGATATCTGGAAGTAAAAGCCCAATACACATGAATGGGAAATGAGATGTCATTTGTGATAGTAAGAATTACATTTCAGATATCTGAAATGTTTATTTTAGATGTGAAGAATGTTATTTTAGATATCTGAAATGCTCATTTTGACTAGGAAGAAATGCATTTGAGACATCTGAAATATATATTCAGTCAAGCTAATTAATGTCAAAAGGGCCACTTAAAATTTGTAAAGATTTCTGAAAGTTTATTCTTACTATTACAATTATATTTTTGGCAGCCTGAAATGTAATTTTTACAGCAAAAATTTATTTTAGGATATCTATATGTAGATTTCTGACTAGCAGGAATGTCTTTTTGACTAGGAAGAGCCAGCGGTCCTTCACACACGGCTATGCCGAGAGAGGGCTGCTGCGGACGGCCTGCGGTTGGCCCTGGCTGCCGTTAGCTTTGGAGCTCCGCTGGTTCCCGCGGTCCTTTCAACTTCGGAAATCTTTTTTTTTTTTTTTTTTACGCGTTAAATCATTAAATGGGCCGTATAGGGACGCTTTAAAGTATACTATTCTCGCTTCAAATTATCTTAAAACTTACTTTTATTGAACAACAGCAACAGAAATGACAACTTTTAACTTTCAATGGAGCGCTCCTTAGAAGCCGCTGCTGCCGCAGTGCATGCTGAGACAGCTGTCAATCTCAAGAACGGACAAGTCTGCTCCTGTATGGCAAGCCATATTAACATAAATTTGGTTGTACCGCCTTTACGTTCAATATATCTCAAATTGACTAGACGTTTTAGTGATTTGAGGCATCTCTAATTATATTTTGACTAGTCAAAATACCTATCCCTAATTACATTCTGTTATTCTTAAGACGTCAGATTTACCATTAACTTGTATGGAGATGTCAATTTAAGATATCTAGAATGAATTACCGACTATCTGAAATACACCTTTCAGATATCTACAATTAAATTATGACTAGTTATAAAGTAATTTCAAGATATCTCGATTTTAGTTTTCACTAGTCATAATTCTAATCAAAGATATCTCAAATGCCACCATAATTCATGATATCTTAAATGTATTTGAGGATAGGAGATATGCAGCTTTTACTAGTGAAAACTCAATTATTGATATCTTAAAAGCAAATAATGACTAGACAAAACAAATTTAAAGATATCTTGAATTGTAATTTCGACTATTTGAAATTCATTTTAAGATATCTCTAAATGAATTAAAGATATCTTGAATTATTCAGCTTTTCCATTAAAGATATCTTAAATTGACATTCTGACTAGTCAAAATGTGTAATGATCTTTTTAATGGGCTTCCAGGAGGATCATTCCTACAAAACTCCTTACTGTCAGTTTAAAAGAAAGGAAGAAAAGTTATATCAGCGCGTGACACTTGAAATGACAAATCCAGGGTCGTAATTTGAAATATCTTGACAGGAATTTTGACTAGTCAAAATATAATTTAAGATATCTTGAATTATTATTCTTCCTAATCAGAATGTAAATACAGATATCTTAAATTACCATTCCGGATAGTCAAAATGTGGTTTTGTCGAGTCATAATGTATTTTAAGATATCTGGAACGTAATTATTGATGGTAAGACGAAACCGAATTTATGTTAAAAAGGCTTGCCATAGAACTGGCGCATCCACGAGAAAGAGGGCGGGGCGAGAATAACGGCCGTTGGATTTGGGGCGTGTTTTGAATGGGCGGAATAGAACGCTGACGTCAGGCAGTGCTGTGACGTCACAGACCTTTGTAACTGCCTCCTGAGAGGTCTCACTATTCTAAGCGTTCAGCTGTGGACCACACACACTTTGAAAAGCTGAAAGTAGATTAACTTTATTTAACCATACGACCACAAACTACAGGAAATTATGTCTATCATAACCACAACCAGAAGAAGCCTTCGTCTTCTATTGAATGGATACTACGGACCTGATGGGTTACCGACTATTTCATACAAAGAGACAAAAGTCAGGGCGAAACGAAGACGCAGACAAAAAAAGACACCAGTAGACCCAGAAATGCCGCAGAGACCAGTAGACCCAGAAATGCCGCAGAGACCAGTAGACCCAGAAATGCCGCAGAGACCAGTAGACCCAGAAATGCAGCATTCTTCGTACGACCCGTACGAAGAATACTTTGACAACAGTAGCACCAATGGCTACCAAAAAAAGAGAATACTCAAACCAGTTTTTTTGCTAGTCAGTATCCTCTGCCTGTTTTATGGTTGTTCGTGCCGAGCTACTGCCTGGTATGCACAACTTTTAGAGTTGCGTGTTACACTGACAAGTACAGAAAAAACTTTAATCCCAGAATGTCAGGATCAGGAACCTCGTTTTAAGGAGTTACAGGAAAAGCTGTTAATATTGGAGAAAAATATTGGCTATCTTCTACCACCAGCAGATTTGTTGCCCAACTTTGCTCTGAAGTCTTTAGGGGCAAAAATTGTACATTCGATGACCTCAGACACATATCAATCTCAAGACACATTCTCTTGCTTTGGATTTTTGATAAGACCGCCAGCTATTTCCCCAGATATTGTTATTCAAGGAGTATCTCATCCCCTTCCAGGAAAGTGCTGGCCCTTTGGAGGTTCGAAGGGACGTATTTCCATTTCTCTTCCTAACAACGTCTTGATCAGCCATGTTTCACTGAATCACATACCTAAACGGATATCCATTCATGGCACAATCTCCTCCGCTCCAAAAGAGTTTTCCATCTATGGAAAGAAGGATCTAGAAAGTGATGAGAGTCTTTTGGGGACTTTCCTCTATGATGAGGATGGAGACCAACTACAGATCTTCAAGCTTCCTGATTATGTAACTGGTTCCTTCCGCTACATAACCTTACAGGTAAAGAGCAACTGGGGCAACCCTGACTATACTTGTCTGTACGGTTTCCGAGTGCATGGAAAATTAGAAAAATGAAAAGAATGAAAGACAAAAACAGACAGATAAACGTTCAATTGAGGGTAGCGGGTATGGACGGGGGTAAGAAAATGTAAGACTGAATCAGACTAAAATGAGGCAATCAAATAAGACCTAATGTAAATTAGAGACGTTTAAATTGTAGATTTGAAAACATCACTGATTCTTGGGAATTTGGATAAAACAGGTTTTATTTTGAAAGTAAAAAGTTATTTAAATTGCAAAATCTGAAGGTATATTTTAATAGACCAAGGCCTTGGCTGTTCAGCAATGTACAAGGGATATTGTATACTATCGCTATGTAGGCAGGTAGTAGTTAAACTATGTCCATCCCAAATGACGTAAGCCAAATGAACATGGCATAATAGTGAATTGAGAGAGAGGGAAGGCAGACCTCCTCCCCTATATACATAAACATAAATAAAAATATAGAAGAGGTTAAACATTACAGATCAACAATTATATATTTCAACCTCCATTGAGGGCCATTTGTGGGGGGTTTTCACCACCGTTAAACTGTCAGACAGAAAAATAGGCCAATCTCGATCATCTATAAACAACGGCGTTGATGGCAGCAGCCCAGCTGATATTTTTNCAGTTCTGATGAATATCTGATGCAGTCAGAAGTTCAAATGTTGTTCTGTCAGAGTGTGAACCAATCATTTATTCAGCTCTGTGTGATGCTTCAACCAAACATCAGTCCACACACATAGTTTGACTTTACAGTCAAAGATCTGATGTTGAAAAGTTTCATTTATTTCATGGATGATTGTTTTTATACCTAACAATGATCAAATCAAACTCATTGTGGTTTTTAAATCTTATTTCTGCCTCCAACTGTGTTTTTGTGGAGTTTTCTTTGTTGGGTTTCGGCTGCTTCCTGTTTCAGCTAAAGGCGGGGCCCAGCTTTGAGGAACTAAACATCAGGAAGTGACCTCATCAGAATGAACGTTGTGCTCAGCTGCTGTGGGGCTGTTTAGATTCAGTTTCTCTTGTATTGTGTGATTAAATGCTTTGGTCAAACCATTGCACAGGGCTGCTCAGTGGCACAGTGGGTAGCACTGTTGCCTTGCAGCAAGAAGGTTCTGGGTTCGATTCCTGACCTGGGGTCTTTTTTTTGCATGGAGTTTGCATGTTCTCCCTGAGCATCTCTCCGGGTACTCCGGCTTCCTCCCACAGTCCAAAAACATGACTGTTAGGTTGATTGGCTTCTCTAAATTGTCCTTAGGTGTGAGTGTGTGCATGAATGGTTGTTTGTCCTGTGTGTCTCTGTGTTGCCCTGCGATGGACTGGCGACCTGTCCAGGGTGGACCCTGCCTCTCGCCCATTGACTGCTGGAA